TTGGTGACTGTCACGAACTGTGAGTTCATAGCTTGTTATATGCAGTTAGAAGATCCATTGCAATGCTACTTTCATGGTATTGGTTATGTTTACTTTGGACATGAGGGTACACGACAAGAGAAGAAAGTGAATATTGCTTTGATTAGATGTGACAAAGGTTCAGCTGGTCCTGGCAGCTCTCTGATTACTGTGAAAAATGCCGTCACTGTACTCGGACCCAAGGGTGTGATTTCTGTGGGAACCTGCAGTGGTCTGAACCCAGAGAAAACGAAGTTAGGAGATGTTGTTGTCTCTGCGAAAATATCAACTTATGCATCCAAAGTTGTCACCAGTGAAGGAGAGCAATCATCTGGCATGAGAAGTTATGTTAGCCGACATTTTCTTGACCTCATCAAACATGCAGACCATGGCTGGAAGGCACCCTTGAAAAACCCAGAAGCACAACAAGTCAAAGTTCATTGTGGTGAGGTTTTAAGTGGTCCAGAGCAGGTCAGTGCTGGATGGCGACGTGAGGAACTGGCTAAGTCCCATCCTATGGCAATTGCGATTGAAATGGAAGGTGAAGGTAGGTTGTTGTTTAATTTCAGTCCCTGTAGTGGGCATAGACAACAGGACTGCTATTGTTTGAGAACACAGTTTTTTTAACAACTATTTTAATAGTTGTTAAAAGGTATCATTGGTACTTTTTGTCTTACGTAATTCACTAGCAATAGCAACCTCCCCAAAAAATTTAGGGTTGTTTTTGCCAACATACTCTCTCCGTCTCCCCTCCCTCCACCCAATACTACTTCATCAGAGATTGCAGGGCTCTTGTGTAGTGTGGGCATGAACAATCCATGTCGACAGTGCAGTGAAACCTCTACTAATAGTGATAATGCTACTGTTGGAATTTCTGCAATCCATCCCCTAAGAGCTGTAAAAATACACTTGAAAAAAATTACTCGATTCTGATTAGATCAGCTAAGAGCAGTGGATCAAATGCAACACCAGTGCAAAAAGTGTAACACTAGTGCAAATTACAAGAAAGACGACTGAAAATAATTTGAGGTGTTTCAAAGGTGGTTGAAGTTCGCCCGAAGCCGTCTGAAGTGAGCTGAAGATAATTACACATTTTCCGAATTCCTCCCTAGATCGCTTGAACCCTTCTGAAGGTTTTTGAACATTACCTGAATATTTTTTAATGCCTCCAACAGTCATCCAAACCCTCCCCAAAGATTTGCGAAGAGTGACAAGGATCATCAGAAGATTGGCAAAGACTTGAACAATGTTAAAGATTTTGCAAATATTTTCGGAAAGTTTTGAAGATATTTGGAAAACTTAGGACACTGCAGCCCGCCTAATTAAACAATTAATGTGTAGACAAGCGCCTTAAATAGTATATTTCCAAGTCAGGTTACATTAAAAAGTAATCACATGGCTATTCTCGTGCAATTTGGACTAAATGTTTAGTACTAACCTTGTAAATTTTTCAAAGACCACAAATTGCACTCGCCCTACAGGATCACGCATTTTTGTTAGCCTTCCAAAATTTACTTGTCCTTATTTATTCCAAATTGGACTTGAAATCATGTGATTACCTGTACTAATGTTTTTTATGGTTGCTGGGCAGTAACCAGAAAAAATTATGACTGAGGCAATATCTATGGTTAATTTTCTCTTCCTATAAAGATGTTTCCGTATGTCCTTAGGTTCTGTAATTTAGCTCTTGTTAGGTTCCCACAACAGTAAAACAAACTTTCAACAAAACTGGAACAACATGCACATGCACATTTATCTTGTTCCAGTTTTGTTTAAAGTTTGTCATTTAAAAGTTGTGATTCATTAGAATTAACTCGAATAAATTTTAGTTCTGGAAATAAGCAGGAATTGCCTTCTGGGTGTTAGCTATACTGCTGTTGTGGACCGTTGTGGACTGTTCTGAACTCTTTTGACCTGGCTATTGTTGGCCCCTACGTCAGTCTACAATACTTTACAACACTTGCATCCCTTCTCTTTTAATATACTCTATACATAATCAGTTGGAGAGGATAACATTACTCTTGCCACTGTTCTGTCCTCATATTAAAGCTCTAATACAGACTGTACTGTTTTCTTTTTCACAGGTATTTTCACGGCAGCATTTGATCTTCAGATTGAATGGCTAGTAGTGAAAGGCATTGCTGATTATGCTGATGATACTGAGAGCATGTCAGAGAATTGGATTACTTTTGCTAGCGTGATGGCTGCTTCAGTTGTTGCAAATATTTTGAATGATCCCGTCGTTTTCCAGGAATGGCCCCATTTCAAAGGTACATGTAACAATGATCACATGAACTTGTTCTCGTACATTACAGAGGTACAGTTCTCATACAGAATATGTACGCAAGAAAAAAATGTACATGTGATACTTTCTCAGAGATTTCAACAACAGGCCATTTTGTTTATCTTTGTTGTGTGGTCTTGAGGTTTATAAGATCATTCACACCAGACTGGAGGCTAAAAGCACGAAGTCAACGTAAAAAGCATGAATAGGCCCTTGTCAACCACATTTAAAAAGCAGTTGAAGTCAGTTTTCTGAGAAGAATTCCACAAGACTACTTGTTTCTCTCACACCCACCGATGGACCAGTGGACAAGCGACAAGAGGTCAAATTCCTTTGATGCTGTCACTGTGTGAGCTTATACCCACATAACTACCACCCAATGCAGTAAAGAAATACCTCTTCCTTTTACTTGCTGGGAATTTTCCCCTACCCGGAAAATCCGACAGTCTCACAAAGTTTTTTTTTTCTTTTTTCCATCCGCAAAAAAATAACTCTTCCACTCTTTAATTTGCATGGCTATGTTTTGTCAACAGCCGCTTCTCTTGGGATAACAGTTGATTGTGAAACTGTTAAAGCAAAAAGACTGGAAAGGACTTCAGATTCAACAAACTGGGCACAATGTAAGGAAGGAGCTGTAGGAGCAGTGCCGATAGAGGAATATACTCCCACAGGAAGTGAAATGTATCTTAAATTTGCATGGGATCTCTATAAGGCTGCGAAACCATCTACCATAAAGGAATTTCACGACTTCTTTGATTATCTAGTCTTTGTGAAACGTCTTGTTATCGAAGATGTTAAGTCTGGAAGTCTGCTAATCACAGTCAAGTGTGCGTCATTGCAGGTCCTTGAAGAACTCTGGGCTGACTATACATGTGGGCATCTGAATGAAGTGGTACAAAAATGTCTTGTAACAAAGGATATCCTTACTGAACTTGGCCTTGCCGAGTTGAAGCTGAAGACTACTATAAGAGAAGATGATTACAAGGAATGTAAACAATTCTTCCAAGAATTAGGTTAGTTCAAAAATCCATGATTATCAAGTTATTATCCTAATGTAGAGTTCAAATGGATGTCATCTACTTTGATTGAGATGAGCAGTCAGCCTTGCCATGATGTAATGATGTAAAAAGCCCCACATTGAAATGAACAAAGTTTCAAATACATATCATGTACACTTTACTGAGCTGAGTTAAATTATAGCAGGCAAAGGGCTGATAGGGTCCTACCATATGCAATAAGGCACGTATCTAATTACAAATTTTCCAGATGGCGAGACTAAATCACTGTAGTTAAGCAAATGTAACCGAAGGATGGTTCACTGATAGGTGTCAGAGGAGTTGACTCTTTCCTCTAAACTCTAAACCTCGTACGCTGTTTCTGTAAGTCCACCCTCACAAGGTCGCATAAGCGCTCAAAGGTTTCGCATGTCTCTCTACAATAGTCTTTCCAAAGAAAATTCAGCACTAGATTTACATACAAACTACCAAACAAGGTTTGGGAACGTGGCCAAGCCCAAGCTCTTCTTCTTCGTGGCACGTTTTGTCGATTCATTTGACTCAAAAACATCAACATAATTCGTCAATGGTTTCTTTGTCTTATTCGAAAGTCCTCCTCCTCACTGAGAAAGTGATAAGCTTGGTGAAGTAGCAGCCTACTGTTGGCGCAGTAAGAAAAATTAAAGCCAAACAAGAAGAGGAATTTTGATATCTCGAGGTTCCATGATGTAGGATTGGCGCACCCACTCACATGTTTGAATATATTGTGCAACGAAAGTTATGGTTTTGTGACCCCTGAAGCGAATAGAAACTTGGTGTAAGGAACGATTTCTTTTGATAGTTTTAGAAAATTCATCATAATTACCTGAGACCTGAGAACCTTGAATGACCAGTTTTGATATAATTAGAGTTGTCTTTTATATTTGGTCAGGGGCTCCTGATTTGGTAAAATTTCTACGACTAGAGGTGGCGGCGGAGGTCAGGTGGTTAGGGGGCTGGATTTGTAATCCGCAGTTCCCGGGTTGAAATCCTTCTCTCTGCCACTAGATAGATTTGTGTTGGGTGGTCCCGAATTTAATTTCTCCACATCTTGTAAATAGTCAACTGGTCAGTCTCCAACCAGCTGGGATTTTTAACAAGTTTTCATATTTAATTACAATATTTGTTACTTCATGTATAGTGTCCTCAATCAGCAAAAGAGCTAAATACCGTGATGCTTAAATAAATATATGCTATTTGCCGGCTGGGAGATCCGTATGGTGAAAAACTGTGACCGAGGTCTTGAAAATGCAGCCCGAGGCCGCAGGCCGAGGGCAGTCTTTTCAAGCCCGAGGTCACAGTTTTTCACCATACGGACCGACCGTAAGCCGGCAAATAACATGTTTATTTTTTCTCCTGCAGTAAATTGGTTTTACAGATTACAAATGGGTTTGTTAACGCAACTCTTGTCATTGAATCGGCTTCGGCGCCATCTACGAACGATTTGTAAAAAAGTCTCGGCAACGAGCGAGTAACTCAGATAGTAGACAAAGAAAGATGTATTAAAGAACAGATTTTTTTCGAACTACTTTGTGTTAGTTGCATTTACTTCACCAGTTAA